ACCCCAAATGTAACATAAGCAAACGCACACACACACACACACACACATACACACACACACACACACACTCAGACACTTAAGAGTGTGTGCAAACAGCTGTCACCCATCGGTCCAGGGGGCCCAGCAGGCCCAGCAGGACCAGCAGGACCAGAGCCGGTCTGCTCTCACTTATTGTTTGATTCAGTCACATTATTCCTGCGGGGAGAGAAACTCTCTATGGAGCATCAGGGGAGTGGGTGTGGGAGGACTTCGTCATTTAATGCCACTCTTGAAAATTTTAACTGCGTCCTCTTTGCTCATTGCTTTGCTACACAGGTCTGTCTGTCTGTCACACAAGAACGACGGATAAGAAACGATCAACTGTTGTCACGTTGAAATGACCGTGTGATGACCCATTCATGTGCTGAGAGAGGGTGTGGTAAAAACAGGTGAGTTTGTTGTGTTTGGTGAACATGTGCATAAGAAGGCAGGGGTAAAAACAAACTAAAAAACATATTTGTGTTTATTTGGAAACCCTGAAACTCAGCTGCATGCAGTGTCTGCATGATCACAGTTTCATCCAAACTAGCGAATATGTGAACGTGCCTTTGGACCAAGGATGTTGGTTTGCTCCCACAAGCTGAAAAAGGATGAGCAGCACACAGAACACTCTGCTCTCTGCCATTTCTCATAGCTGTTGTTGGAGCAGAAACATGCTGTTGCTATTGTTGGATGTAACTGAGACCCTACGTACATAATTTCGTTCCACGTCATGCACCACATGTGACGAGAATGACGATCAACTTGACTTGAACTTGAAAAACCTGACTGCAGCCGTCTGTACTGCACACGTGACTTCACACTTTTGGATTTAAAAACCTTAGATTTCAGAGAGAACGAGGGCTGTTGTTGTGGACACAAATGGCCGAAGCGCAGCAGAAAACAATAATTAAAAAAAGAAACGTGTCGCGTAAACAGGGCCTAAATCATTCTGGTTTCCTGTAAATGGCACTTTTTATCAATGGTACCATGGGGGGGGGGGGGGGGGGCGGAAGAGGGCGAACCCGCCTAACGATAGGCGGGCGGA